TTGGTGGCGCCCTCTTCACAAAAGCGCACTCTTTGCGAACAGAGTTACCCTACTTGAGTTTTAAAAAATCAAAGTGAAACTAGCAAGTTTTGGGATAAATTTCGGAAGAACGCTTTTTAAAAATGATTACGCTGACAAAAAACCTCTTCCGGAGGAAAAGGAGATGGTTTTCTTCGTTTAATTTGACTTTAGAATGAAGGGCGAGAGGTCATTAAAATTTTTAAAAACCTAAAACTCCGCACTGAACATACCCGAACTGCTGATGAACAGCAGTCGATCTGCGCACGCAAGGAGGTGCTATTCCTATTCTTCTTCTGGAAAAACGAAAGAGAGCTTCAAAACAGACTGCAGCGCCATCTGAAGCAAAGAGCATACTTCCTGCGGACACTTTTTAGGCTGAGTGGCCCATCTTGTCTTGTACTATCTTTAAAGTCACATGTAGTTGCCACCAGAGTGTAACCGTATATAAAAAGCAAAACAATTAAAAGCCACGTTTTTATGACGTAAAGGAGAGATCGTGAGGGTCTGTCAAAAGTTAACAAATGTGTACCAGCAAAGATCAATCAGACACAGTTTTTTTCCAGTAGTTGTGTTTCTCAGGTGGTTCGCCATTACACACAAAGAATACAAGTTAAACACAAACGTAGGAAAGGTAGGAGGGTTTTCAAAATCTCAGGTAGAAATTGTCATAATAACAAAAAAGATTGCTCTTCTACAAGTGCTCAAACTACACATATTCTACGAAGGGAACACTATGTGCCCGCAGAGTTCTGTCACAGCACGAACTGATTATAGTATAGTGGCAGCAGTTTGGGAGATTTGTTGACACCAAAAAGGTTCTATTTAGTACTAGACTTCGTATCAGTGATGTCTCCCACGTAAACCAATGGGGACTGCATGTGCCACCCTGGGACACTGAACCTCAAGGGCAAGACTTGCGCAGTTCAACAAACGAGCGAGTACTTTGTGAGACTCACGTGGAGGCGTCATGGCGACATCTACAACCTTGCACGGCACTGAAATAATATAGGGGGAGGATGGTGATTAATATACCAGAGCTCGTGGGGAGCGGGGTGGGGGATTCAGATTGTTCATGTAAACAAGGGCGGGGAGGGGGGGGGGGGGGCTCGCCGGCAATGCCGATGAGGGGAAGAAGACCCCCATATCTGACATGTGTGAAGTCATTGCCGCTCGCTCTAGTATTATATAACTTCTTTGGTTGACACAAGTCTTCTTGAGAATTCTCGTCTGCTCAGCTGCAGGAATTCTGCTACTGTCACAGATCTGTGCGCCAGTGCAGACAGCTGCGGCCCACGCGACTTTGTAAATTGTACCACGCAAAGGAGTCTGTGGTATTGCACAAAGAGGTCTGTGGTACTGCACAAAGAGGTCTGTGGTATTGCACAAAGTGGTCTGTGGTATTGCACAAAGTGGTCTGTGGTATTGCACAAAGAGGTCTGTGGTACTGCACAAAGAGGTCTGTGGTACTGCACAAAGAGGTCTGTGGTACTGTGCAAGAGTAGGCTTCGGCCGTCACCCGGGAAAAATTCAAAATTCCCTACCACACTGAAAATGTTTCATGCATCGGTCTCGAGCGCTCATATAATCTTATGAAGTTGTGACCACAATAAAACACTTCTACCAAAGAAGAAGTACAGTCATATTCCTGTGTATGCTCCCCCCAGGCTGTCCCCCATCCCACGTGACCTCCAGGGACAAGCTGCGTTCTACGAGGCCAACTTGTCAGGACAAGCTGCTTTCTTTTCGGCGCAGGTGGCTGGATATGATTCAAGTAAGCTATAAAACATAATATACGTGTCTGAACACTAAGTGCGTGTCTGTGTATGCGTGTGTAAGTTTTTATGTAAGGCATCGTGGTGAAAACAGGCGCTCGTCAAAATAATTAAATCATAGATATCGGTATTTTTCCTCCAGTTTGACAATTGTTTCCTAATTTTTCTTGTTTTTGGCACACCACCTTTTATGTCCATTTAAAACATATTTATGTGTGGATTTTACTGGGAAACATTAATGTAAGTCACAACAAATGTAAATTTTCAGTTTCAAAGGACTCTCAAGCTTTGGAAATAACCAAACTTTAGTGACCTTTTTCTCACCAATTTTACTTTCGAAACCAGGCAATCCCGACCTCCTTCAATTGCAAATATCTTGACTTCTTTTATTCAAGATAGGCATGTATTTTTTTCATCCAAAGATGGTCAAATGAACAAGCTTTAAGATGGCACCAATAAATCCAGAGGCCCAAACATTGACCAGGGCGTGATTCTACCGCTTCGTGACACTCACACACACACACACACACACAC